TTTTGGCAGGCTTGGTAGAAGTGAATTACAAGAAAGCCTTTCGAATATCATATTTATGTGGTAGGATTTTTTATTAATAAACGTTGTATTTACTACAGCAATCGATTACATAACATATATTACGTTTATAAACAGGTTTTCGAGACTACCAAATGATCATATATATGAGGAGACTAGTGGCAGTGTGACGTAGTGGTTAGCTTGTCGAGACTGTAAGCTGTGTCATCATGGTTCGAGTCCCGCTAGCGGTTCTGATGAGATCTAGGCGAGGTTGAAACTGCAGTCCACTCTGAATGAGAATATCTTTTAGGTAAAAAAAGCTATGTAAAGTTCAATGGAAACGTAAGGTCTACTCCTACCAGAATGGGGAAAATTCAACTTGAAGTCCTTCATCACCTTAACAAAATAGTGTAAATATATCTTAAATTAGCTTGTCTGTTGTAAGCGTATTTCTTAGTTTGATATAAAGCGTTTGCGGGGTTAAGGTAATAGATCATTTTAGTTTTGAATATTGCAGATTAGTGGTTTTTTGATTTTAGATAACTTTAGTCAGAAAGGAGAGAATGAGCTATTTGAGCATTTTAATTAAAAGGGATGTAAATCCTTGAATTATATGAAATAAATACAATAAGTGTCTCAAAAATGAGGATATTTTTAACCCTTTTAATAATATCTAAGCATTTACTACTCCATCCGAGCTCCTGTTACTCTAATTTAAATCTTTCATGAATATTTATTAACGCCAAGCAAAAGGCCACACCAGCTTTGACTTTATATCGAGATTTATTAAGTTTTCTTATTTTAACGTCAATCAATATGCATTCCTAAAGGGTGAGGATACAAAATCCAAATCAATTGTTTTCAGATTTTGAAAAAAAATAAATAAGCTCCTTTGTCTAGTAAATAATGCAAATTAGGCCAGTCATTAAGCAAGTGGACCGACTGCATCTAAATTCAAACTACTAGTTCAAGTCAAAGGTCAAACAACAATGGCGTCTCAAATGAGTGCCAAAATTGTCAGACTTTAAATTGAGAATCCACTAGTGGTGATACAATGAGCTTTCTTGTATTAAGTTATAAAATACATTCTATTGGGTCGCTTGTGTCTCGGTCACAAAACTACAACCTTATCCCTTTTCTACATTAAAATGAAGATACGATGGATATACTCCAACTGTGTTAATAAAAGTGAAAACAGAGGTGTCAAAGAAATAGGCTAGCCAAGCACATAGCGGACAAGATAGAAAAGAGTTGATAAAAATGTATGTAAAATACAAGTAAGAGACAATCGATGAACGAGTAAATCAATTTGTGCAGTTACAAGAGTAAAACGTGTCCAGCTGGATGAGAGACAACCAAGTAAGCTTTGACAACAAAGGTTAGCGATTTCTCTCTAAAAATACAACGAAGCTAAAGTAGTAAAAATGATTCGTTTCAAAAGATCTACTAAGACTCATTCCGACATCAATGGATGAATCCTCATTAACAGATTAAAAGGGGCTGGTGACAAAATTGACAAGGAAAAAAATTATAGAAAAAGATGCTAATAATTTATGACGTCATGAAGATTAGCGAAATTTGGAGATTTTACTTAATGCTTTGTATGTGGTAATGATATCGGGATAACGAGACATAAATCAGAGTCTAAAGTATTTTTTAATAGAAGTCACTCTTTCTGTCTCTACCAGGATTGAATTGCATTTTGAGAGAAGCATTAACAGTGTACAATTTTCAATCAAAGACACTATAAAGACTTAGATTTTAAAAGATTGAAGTCTCAAAGGTCTCAAGAACTACTTTATTCGAGACACCATGCGCGTAGTTCTTCCTTCCTTTTTACAAGATGAGATAATTAAACTGGTGACAAATCAAATCAAATTGAAGTGGAACAATGCGCTTAACTATAAAAAAGTAAGTATTCCGCGAGTCAACTATTTATTTGTGCCCGCCAGCCTGCTTATTTTGGTAACTCTGTGCTTCACTTATACAATTTTATTCTTCGTATTTGTTGATGGTCTAGTTCGATAAACATTTAGCAAATAATCTATTTAGAATTCATTTCGAAAGTCAGGTTCATGTATATTGCGTGACAGTAGCATCAGGAAAAAATACCTTTAGTATATGAGTTCAAACTTGGCGTACTGAGATGTTGAAAAGTGAGGAAAGCCATGTTGATTTGATGAGAGTATAAAGCAACAGGCAGCTGAGCTATCACTAGCACGCAGACACGACCTATCATAGAATTTATTTGCTCCTATACAGATGAGTATTTTTCCTACTGCCGCAGCAATGGCGGCGAACAATCTAACTCTGGATCAGCTTTTCCAGCACCGATAACTGTTTGATTCACCTTCTCTATGCACACGCTATTAAGATATTACATTCGTCTTGGAAGAAATGTAAGACGATATTAGTCAGAGCGGCTGTACAGTGGAGCGCTGGTTAATCTGGTTGGAAATCAACCAAGAGTAATGATGTTGATTCATTTGTCGACTGGGTACCTGAAGATGGCCAGTATAGGGTGTTGGTTTAGTTTGCACGGTCTCAAACGGTACTCTTTCTTTTGCATCTGTATTTATTGATGTCATTACTGCTCCTCTCCTGTGCCATCCTGCCTTTGGGTCCATTTTACTTCGCGATTGATGGTCACCAGGATGAGAACAAATTATTCTATTTTTCGAACCATCTTGAAAACGAATGTGCTCGACTTTTGCAATCCCTGAGGCCGTCTTTGCATTTTCTTGATGCTTTCCCAAGTCAGGCTGGGCTGTCTTTCCTGCTCGTCTGATCCAGGTGCTCTGGTTACTACTGCTTCCACTGAGACTATCGTTAGGACTGTTAGCGTCCAGGTGGAGTTGAGAGAGAAAGACCTGCTTCTTGGGTTGGTTCCAGTGGCTTACCCCAGGATGCAAAGCACTCATACGGTGCTCTCGAGTCGGACAGTAGGGGTCACCAACTTCGTCAGATAAACGACCTAATTGCAGGCTTGAGCTAAAAAATAAAGGATGAAATACAATGTAAAATAAAAGGTCAGAGCAGATTTGTTGCATAGAGCCACAACAGTTTCCATGCACGTAAAATAAAGTAGAAAAATAGTGGAATAGAAAAGTGTGATCTATTCAATAATAGGATATACACAAATATATATATATATATATATGCATATACTTTGATAAAACGTGGCTTGATGAAAGATAAGCAATAAATATAGAGTATTTCCGCAAAAGGATTATTATTTCATTTACAACTCCTAAAAGGCCTAGATTATAAAAGTCATCTTGTTATAAATAAAAATAAAAAGTTGCTTGATTCTCTGTTGGAAATTACATTAGACTTTTGAATAAAATAACTCATCGACTTATTTCATTTTTGCTACTTTCAGGATTACTCAGGTAACTTAGCTTGCCTTAAACTGAAAAGACTTAGGATTTGGTCAAATACCTTTTTAAAAAAACAAATATCTTATATGAATTGATATGGGAATGATTTTCCGATGAAATTGCCTCCACGTCCTCATTCATTTTATTTCATGGCAAGCTCTTAAATTCCAGCTTCTCGAAGCTAAGCTCTAGGGCCCTTAAGGTGCACAGTTAGTTAATTGGTCCAATATACACACAGACCAAGTATGCGAGCGCACAAGTTCATAAATAAACCCGATTCGAACTCGATGACACTCACTCATCTTTAAAACTCTCTTATTAATCCCGCTATTCGTGTACCTGGCGAAATAATTGGCAAATTATTTTTGTTATGTGCC